ATTTGTGCCCGCCTCAGGCCCCCTCGAATACGGCCCCTGACCGACTCAGGGCCTCTTGCCGACGCAGGGCCTCCTGTTAGGCATGTGGGCCTTCAGCCGAAACAGGGGCCCTCATTGTTCCAGGGATCCCGATCAATGCAAATCGCGGGCCCGGTTTTTGTTCACGCTTTGGAAAATGGAGCCCCCAGGGATCAGAACCAATACGGAGCCTGCTATTCGGTGTTATTGGGCTTTGGCCGACATAGAGACCCGCATTGTCCCAGGAGGATTCCACCTGGTGGAAGAGGATCTCTGAGTGACACTTGAGGCAATGGCACTACGGCCAGGGGATGCTTAATGTGAACTTGTAGAAGCCCTTCGGACACTTCAGCCTTCCCAATCAGGCCCTTGATCGTTGGTTCCGAGAGCCCGATGGTCTCCTGGTTACGTAAGAGAGGGAAGTAGTCACGTACTTCTGTGCCCCCCCCCCCCCCCCCCTCCCCCCCTCCCCCAACTGGTTCAGCTGGATACACCCTTGCTAAGTGGAGCAGAGCAGCGATGTTTACTTGGCCATTTCCATGATTCTCTGCGCGTTCTGTGTTTTGATGCTTAAAGCTGGGAAATAATGCTCTCCTATGTTTTATTCATCCTTTCCAGAGGCCTAAATACGTGCGCTACGCTACAAAATACAGCACCAAACTCAAATACTTTGCAAGTTCGTATGGAGAATTGCTTGTGTGCCTAAATATTTGTAATCAAGCTAGTATTCATAGTGTTAAATTGTGCGAGGGGTTACAATTACATTTATGGTGCTGCTCTGTATCAGGCCTTCATCCAGATGCGCTACCCGCTAATTATTGTGTTTGGGCGTGATGTTCAGTTCAGATTTTATAACTTTGCCCACCACTGCCATGGATCTTAGGGATTTCTTTGGTTAGACAACGTTAAGTTAACTTTAAAAACTAACAAAACGATGTCTGTACCTTGCCTGATAATAAAGGCTGTCTGTTTTCCCTTTCTCGAACACTGTACACTCAAAGCAAATAAAACATGGCAGTAGGCCTTTGATGTGGTACATTTTTGTCAGAACCAGAGAGTACTAGCACTGCTGAGAGCGTTAGACGCTTAGGGCATTGGAGCAAGATTAATCCAATCATGCGGTAGAGAACTCCATTCACGCGTCCATTGCCTCGCTTGTGCTTGTATCATATAAATCACTCACGTATACCCTTGTGCACGCAGCCTGCGTGAGACATCAAGAGTTCGATCGCACGTGCATTCGCTCAAGGATGTCAATAACATCCAAAAATTTGTCACGGACAGATCCTCATGACCAATAAGCGATCAGCACGCCCTGTGGTGATGGGGTGGAGGGGGTCAGTTTGACATACTGAGGTTTAATTCAAATAACTTTCGAACGGTGTGGCGTAACGACGCGAAACTTTGCATATCTGTAGGCAATTGGATGACTAATATTTTAGTGTAAATAATTACGAAAAGCTTATACGGCCTCTAACCTAACCAGGTCAAAGTCAGGCGATATGTCAACGAAGGCCATTTCTAGGGAAGCTCGAGCTCATGCAACGGCAGAGTGATGAACGAAGTCATGTACCTTTGAGCCGCTTTTTTAGACCACAAGTAAATTAAAACTCGGGATAACGAATAATTCCATTGGCCTGATACAAATAAGAGATTTTTTAGTCACTGGCTTTTCGTCGTCGTGCGTTTCAGGCTGAACACACAAACATTATCATGGGATCCAGTTTCAGCAAGCTTGTCCAGATTAGCACTCTAAGAAACAGCACTATAGTCGTGATCAGCATCGATGTCTGTTGGCAAATTCCTTCCTGTCCTGATACTGGGTACGGGCCATCAGTTATTTTCGGCTTAGATGCCCTTAGTTTCAGGTAGTCCTTAGCAATGCCCTGCTTTGGCCTAGGACGTGAAAGCCTGAATACAATGGATGCTAGTGTGGTTCGTACATTGTTCGTGGTGCCTGATGTTCATGGTAAGATTGCAATGCTATGCTCCACATGGGTCATCGCTACATTCCTGTTTAGCCGCCCTTTATTTCGTGCACCCTTCAGCATAAAGCCCTGTATTGGGGGTGAATGTGACTTTTTGCTTAAACTTGCTCAACGACGCTCACTCGTGATCATTAGCATGACTTGAAACGTTGTTGAATGAAGTATTGACAATATAACCAATGGTATATCTATAAATTGTTTAACACGTACCTGATGGTATAATGAGGGCTCATAACTAAATACGAACTCCTGACTCAAAATCCCGGGTCAGGTACGAAGGCAAGATCAAGGTCAAAACAAAACCTTTCTTATTGCAAAACCTGCTTTATAGGGTATTTTTGACGCCCACTTCATATTCCTTGACCACATGGGCAAAAAAAATGTCCTTTTTTACCTCAAGGCCAGGGATGTTATCGACCTAATCAATCAACATTTTGCTGGAGGAGCATACCGCCCAGGGAAGCTCCTAACGCTGCTTTGAATTTGAATATGAAAGTGATATTGAAGTGTTTTGTGGATTTATACTTGTTCAGAGTGAAGGAAGGTCACCGACCTGATATAAGCAAAAGAGATCTTTTGCTTAGAATAGGTATCTAAGAAGAAGCTGATTGCGTCAGCATGTCTGAGGGTGAATCGGACACCGAGCTCGTGCTTGACTTGTCTGACTTTAATCTTAAAGGTTACGACCTAGGAACCTACAAATGTGACACAAACGAGTTCACATAAAGCGCTACCAGCCACGTGAGTGTAGCGTGTCTGGGTCTCTCAGTTTTGGAAATCTCAGAGGACGCGGCCAAATGGACCGCCCGAGCGCATTCTACTTCGCCGGCCGACCAGAAGAGTGTTATGTAATCGGTGTCGAGAATTTTCGGTAATATTGGTATTAATTTTCAAAGAACATCTTATATGCAGCGCATTGTAATACATTCAATAGCTTTGGTAGGCGGTGTCCGTTTTCAGTAGTTTCCAATAACTGGCGTCGTAGTTCGCAGCACGTGAGTAATTCGACAACGAAATCAATGCCGCAAGGGGCGGCGCTCAGCCTTGGCCCTTATCGCAAGATGCCGATCGCCTTGATCGGTCTCCAATGTTTACGAGGCGGTGCTGGGGGATGTCAAAGCCGTTTCCCTCAATAAAAATACCGGAGCTCCGGCGTACGTTTTAATAGTTTGTAGTTCAGATTAGAATGACTTGATTGGCATCAGTGGAGCACCGAGGCAAGCTTATCGTGCCATGTCCGGAGCGCGCGTAGATGCGTGTTTAGGAGCATGCTGGTCGATTTTGATTATCACCCGTTTACCATACAAGAAGAAGGCACTTTTTCACCAACTTCATTGCATCCAAGTCAGGTTCATGGTAAGAAAAAAACGATGGGTAGGGTTTCCATGCTGCGTTTCAGTGTGATATGTTGATAATGGTCCATGAGCGCACATGATATTCAAGCAGACTTGATTTGAAATTTAAAAAAAAAATATTTGGTTGATAGGGATAAGCTGGGTGCTTCCACGAGTCTGATGGATTTATTCGC